ATACCAATAATCTTGTGCAAATTAGAGCGTATTTTCTCAACTAGTTTTTTCGACTCAATGGAGCATCTTCCCATACACTTGGCATATGAAGCAAAAATAGCCGAACTCGTACAATATCAATGGATATATCCATTTGAAAGGTATAAATTTATGATTTCGAGTGAACATGCGTAAGTTTATAAATCTATCAAATATTGATTAAGTCTAATGAACTCACAATATTATTGTAGGTACCTTCATAAATTAAAAAATAATGTTAAGACCAAGGCCAAAGTCGAAGGGTCAATATGCAATGCGTATTTAGTTGAGGAAGCTTCAATGTTCGTTCATATTACTTCGAGCCTCATGTACACACTAGGCATCGAAAAGTGCCTAGAAACTTTGATCTGTGATCGAAAACCGAATGACGATATTGAAGGCATGTTAGCAATATTCATTCCTACGGGTAGACCTCTTGGTCGAGCACGATCACATGTCCCGACGGATCAAGAAAAGAATACAACGCACACCTACATTCTATTGAAATGTGATGAGGTCACACCTTACACGGAGTACGTTTTATAACTATCAAATATTATTACTATACATTTATTCTTTAACTACCATTCAATTTTAAAACATATAATAACAATATTTTTTTGTTAAATATTTTATCGATCAACTTTATGAAAGTGACCCCGACATATCGAAAAATGAGGTTGATTTTCGACTTCAAAACCAATTTGCATCATGGTTCCATCGATATGTGAGTATTGCTGCTGTCAAGATTGTTATTAAATATTCATAAATTTATTTTTGGAAATTTTATTGTAACATTACATGATAAGTAACTCGATCCTTACATACGAGCAAATCGAGCATAACCTAAAACTATAACATATCATTATATTAAAGATTTGGCCAAATGACCATTGCGAATCGCGAAGTCGTATGCAAGGTACATTATAAACGGATATAGGTTTCATATCGATGTTGGTGGTTCGGAGAGAGCATCAATGTGTAGTGGAGTATGTGTAAAAGGGGTTAGCTACGGTATGGTGGAAAATGACTACTATGGTAGGTTGATTGACATACTCAAACTTGAGTATCCAGCCTTACCAATAAAGAAAATAGTTTTGTTCAAATGTGATTGGTATGAGATGACACCAGTACCGGTACACGAGTTCATGATCATTATGGACTAGTCGAGGTTCATAGTCACAAGTATTTAAATAGATCCGATCCCTTCATACTAGGATCATAAACGCATCGGATGTATTATGTAACATATCCTACATGTAAACGCATATGACGAGATTGGTTGGTGGTATGTGAGGTTAAACCAAGGTTGATGGTTGATATGCTAGAAATGTATGTTATCGTCGATCAAACCAATATCGAACCCTTTCAAGAAAATAAAATTGAAGGCCAACACAATGTCATGCACGTAGATGATGATGAAGGTCAATCATTGATTGATCCTACTTGGAGCATTATTAGAATTAGACGGTGGTGAAATAGATATTCAAAATGAATCGGAGTTAGAAACCGATGTTGAAGAAGACTTAGATGAAGAATGTGACAATGATGATAATGATAATGATTAGAGATAATATGGTATATCCCAATAGATTATGTTATATTGTATTTTTTATTCAATTCATAAATTATGCATTTGGATTTTATGTAATTGCAGTTCGAATTTAAGGGTTTAGGCAACCTTGTTCTCCCGGGATGTTGGGATAGGCTAGTTTTGTCCCCCAAGTATAATTTTTCAAACTATTTTAATAAATCTCCGAGGTACCGTCCCCGTTCTATCACAAAAAGGAAAAAATTAGGTTTATTGGTATGTTTACCTACATAGTTAACTTATAAATTTTAAAGGTAAGATTTAATTAAATAAATGTTTTTGATTTATTGTCGTTTAAATATAAATCAATTAGTTCATATTAATTTGAATGTTATATGTAAGTATATGTGCATTATATAATTAATATTTTATTTAAAAACTATTGAATTTAATAATTAATATGTAGGTCATAATGACTCGAGGTAGGGGTCCTGGTTCGGATACCGATCGGTCGACAATGATCGTGGACGCGGACACCCTTCTTATTCTCGCTCATGGTCGGATGGATCCCCCACCGAACATGCCTCCGTACCACTCTTCCGGTGGCCCCTCCACATCCCGTTCCATGCCTAGCATGTCTCAACCTCCACCATTTCCATATTATGAACCTCCACTTTAACCTCCCTCATCTTTTCCTTCGTCATCGTCGGTGCCTTCGTCATCACATCGGGACAACCGTTCCGTTCCTAAACACGTTCCACCCCATAATGTCCCACGTCAATCCATTTCGGAACCAATAACATCCGCGATTGACCATCGAGCACGGGTCATTGTCGTTGGGTGCAATGAGTACGAGTTTATGCTTAGTTTAATTAAATATTTTTTGTTTACCTTTATTATGTACTCGGTTATTTATGAATTTAATTCATGTTTATTTTTTTGTAGGTTGTATCCCTCCGATGTTTGCTCTCGCTCGATTGTTAAGACATTTCAAGAGTATGTTCATATTTCGGGATGGATGTGGAAGAAAATGAGTCCAAAGATAAAAGATTTTTACCGAGAAGAATTTAAGGTTCTAATTTCTAAATTTTATTTGATTAATTATATTATTTAATATTTAATTAAATAGCACAAAATAATATGAAAATCAATTTAGTAGTGTTTATTATTATTTTTTTTTTTACGAAATCATTTAAGTGGGATGATGATTTGAACAAGAACATAGTTAAGAAAGCATGGGAATGTCTCTCACGGAAGCGATATTCGACTTCCTTTGTCGTTTAAGAAAAAAACCAAAGCCGACATATATCTCACAAGAAATATGAGATGCATGGACTACGGAATGGATGAATCCCAAGGTCGTTGCTCTATCCGAGATGGCGAGTGGGGAATCGTAGGAGCGAGACTAGTGGAGTCGGAGCTGGTCCTTCTAGACATACGGGGGGATCAATCAACCATAGAGAGCACACCATACGCATGGTAAAAATGATATATTAATTAATTTATTTATAATTTTTTAAAAAATAATACCCAAAATAATTAATTAAAACTTTGACTATATTTAATACATTTATGTTTATTTATATATGTTTTCGGTGTAATGTGTTGGGTCGTGAACCCGATCCTCACGAGGTTTTCTTGAGGACTCATCGGAGAAAGGTTAATGATCGGTTAGTCTTCATCGATCAACGGTCTAGGGTTATCGGAGTAAGTGATAATTTTAAAACATTATTTAATTAATATATGTTAGTTAATAACGTTATCCGACATACGTACTTAATATGATGTGTTTTCACACTTATACGGAAATCGTACAAAGATTAATTAATGAGGAAGAGGTTGCTAGCCGACAGTCAAGAGAGATCGAAGTGATCGCACCCGACATTAATGACATCTTTCGGAGGGTCGTTGGTGGAGGAGATAGTAGGAGAAAGAGGATGTACGAAATCGGGTCACATGCATCTCACTACTATTCAACTCGTCAATGCGAGCTCATCTTCTCGCTACTTCTAGATTCAATGCAGTGATGAGGTGCGATTGAAGGAATTACAGGAGCAAACATCCGCAAACACGACATATATCAATAACTTAGAGGGTACTATCAACGACCTACGGGGACAAGTGGCATCGTTGTTGGATACGACAAATGAGTTGAGAACCTATAGTCGACGAGCGGTATACGATGATGTCGCGGATGCGACGAGATGTTCATGCGAGCATTTTGAGCGTGGTGGTAGTTCATTCGCCATTCCCGAGATCGACGACGACGCAACCCGACCTTTAGACGACTCTACCCGACCTCCGACCGATCCCGGACATTAATTTATTTTAGCTTTTCCGTTTTCTTGTATTAACTGCAACCTATATACTATTTTTTGTTATTTCACAATAATTTAATTATTTAGTAACGTTTTAATACATTTCGAATAATAAAAATCTACGTTTACGATATTTTATAAGATTTTTGTTTTTTAAAATTGTTACTTTTACCTCATTTTATTATAGCTGTAAAAAAAATTATTTTTTCAATTAGCAACGGTCTACACCGTCACTAATCTGTCTCTATTTAGCAACGGGTATACCAAGGGTTTGCTCGACCATCGCTAAATTCATTATCGTTTACATCGACATTTAGCGACGAACTAACAACGTTTTAAACCGTCGCTAAACAATACCAACGAGTTTTTTAGCGACGGTTACGGGACCGTCGCTAATTAATCGCAAAAACGTTTTAGCAACGGGTTTTTTTGATTAACTCGTCGCTAAACGGCATTTATCTTGTAGTGTGGTTATTAAAACTATGTTCTTATTTATCTATTTATTTTGGGAATTAAAATATAAATTAGTCCTTTCGAGTTTCATAAAACAAATTGATTAGTTCTTTTTATTTTAAAAATTAATTATTTTGTTCATTGATAATGTTGATTATGATTAATTTAATATTATTTTATTTCAAAAAAATATTTTCTTTTTTCATCCATCTTTTCATATTTTTTTACCTTTTTTTCTTTCTCTATTTCTTAAAAAAATCCAAAATAAATTAAAAACTAAAAATATTAAATTATAAATGGATTTAAATAATTATATTTTTAAAAAACCAATTAATTGTTCTTCCAAACTTGAACAACTAAATAATTAGTTTTTTCAACACTTGAAGATCTAATTAATTTATTATTCAAAAATTGAAGGACTAATTGATTTATTATTCAAAACTTGAAGGACTAAATAACTATTTTAAAGCAAAATGGATTAATTAATTTATTTTTCAAACCTAAAGGGACTAATTTATAATTTACTCTAATTTTGAGCGTTTTAAGCTGCCGTCTTGTAAACCACGTGAGTATAAAAGTCAATCAATACGTTATCGGGGAAAACTCCTTTGAGAGCTAACCAGAAAACCCATTGATTAAAAAAAAGAAAAAAGAAGCTAACAAAAACCTCAACCCGAAGAATGAAACCATCTAAGACGACATCCCTTGAGGGCCAGCCAAATTCGTTTGCCAAGCTATTTGCAGCGCCAGCCGTTTCTTCTTCAAGATCGAGAGCATCTGGTAATGAGCATGAGTCCATAATCACCGATGGTGAAGCCATTTCAAACGCTTCCAAAAGTAGCAGACCTGGTGGGAATCCTCTGCATAAAGCGCCATCAGGAGTGCCATCTTCATCTCTAAGGGAGATATCTCGTGGTGAGTTCCTCTCGACTTTATTATTTCTGCTCTAATTTTATTCTACAAAGACAGCAGTTTGTTTGAAAAGGCTGTAAAATAAATAATTAACCATTTTTGTTTCGGGTAAACTGAAACTTTGATCTAGTAGGTGGAGAAGAACCCGAACTCACTGCTTCTACAGAGATTCAGCATCACAAAACGAGAGAAGAGAAGGTTAAAACTTTAAAGAAATTGTCGAAACAAGAACCAACAAGTGAGATTGCTGTCAAAATTGCTTTTCTTGTTGAGTCCTTGAATGATTCGAATCATATTACAGAAGAGATAATTAAAAAGTGCAAAGAAGGTGAACAGAAGTTGGAAGATGGTTTGTTGCTAGTTAAACAAGCGCAACAGCGGTTGGATCTGCTCTTGACGGAAATTTCTGATTGATTAATCATTGAAGTAAATTAGTTTTGTTTTTGTTTTTCTTTCCGCTTGTGAATGGTATTTACCCTTTCAAGTTATGTTGAAGGCTGCTATTACTTTTTCTTCGGTATCGATTATGCCAAATAAAATACTGCCCTTCTTCTTGCTCTACAAAATTATTTCTTGTGCATTTTTATTTTTAGCCTCAAGTTTTTATCATGAAATCAAATACCTTATTGATTTAATATATATATATATATGTACACACACTCCTCATTAGAAGGCCAAGAGCCAATGAGAAATTGACGCCTCACCTGAAACTTTGTTTGTAAACTCATTTCACCAATTGTTAAGGACACGGTAATGATGGGGGGGGGGGGGGGGGGGGGGGGAAGCATATCTCAAGAAATCCAAAGTGTATATATGTTTTAATTCACGAAATTTCAAACCTTCTTTAAAAATTGAAATCGATTCCATGGAAATCAAGCGGTCCAATTTAACATAATTTGCCAAACTACATAGCTTTTTGGAAGAAATCAATATCAAAATTTTACCACAGTGAAAACTATTAAAAAATATATAACATTATTTTTAAAATCTCATTTAATATCATAAATTTTTAGACTAAGATAGTTATATATAATTATCTTATCAAACTCAATTAACAAAAAGACGATACAAATAGGTGGAAATCATTGTTATTTTTCTCCATAGTTGCCTCAAACTTCACGCATAGCATATATATGGAAAGGTGTCTTTCGTTAACCAGGTACTCTTGATAAAAAGATTATCATGTATTTTCTTATTTCCAAAGACTTATCTACATATATGGAAAAGTCTCTTTCGTTAACCAGGTACACTCGATGAAAAGATTATCATGTATTTTCTTATTTCCAAAGACTTATATATATATATATATATATATATATATATATATATATATATATACACGACATAACAAATAATAATTTTTTAATTTGTATTAAAAGTTAAAAAAAAAAAAATTGGAAATGACGGAGTAATTGTTAAGCAAATAATTAAATTACATGTCTCCTGGCCTTTTTGTTTTTTTCCCAGCTCATGACTAAGCCCTCTTTCAATCACGTTGGCCTATTTTTTTAAATAAATAAACAATAAATTCCACACATGATCTCACGTCTGACGACCATGTATTACGTACGTTGAAGAAATTTCTATTACCTTGAGTAACAGGAATTTATTGTTGAAATAGGCTTGGTATACTGACCTGCAGCAATCATATGACCCACTCGCTAGTAATTGATTAATTATTCCAATTATAACTAGTTGGGATGGCAACTTTTTCACATTGTTGTATGAGAAGGTCAAACGAGTAGAAAATATGGTAGCTGTAAAATAATCCATCTACCCTTCCTTCTATAAAAAGGCTTCTTTTTGGTGCTGATTCTCACCTAGAACAGAGAATAGGAAACTTAATCAGTAAGAGAGGTCTTGTGCAGCAGTTATAATGGTCCACAATACAAGTACTGTTCCTGCTGGAGGCTATTCTCAGAATAAACGGCCGTATCCTCCTCCTGCTCCTCCTCTTCCTCCTCCTCCAAAACGCAATTCCTTTTATGATCACTTCAACAAAAGAAGCATCCAAGACCCAAATAAAAACTGGAATAGTCAGCCATATTCAGCAGAGTCCCAGATTCCTCCTAATCGTGCAGCAACCCCCAAGCCGAATCCTGGAATCTTCAGTGAGTCTCAAACTAAACTTTATCTTGAATTCTCTACATTATATAGAAGAAAATATAGAATATGCTAGATGCACAAATTCTTCAAAAAAAAAAAAAAAAAAAAAAAAGAAATTATGGACATGATTTATAAATAAATATGTATTTATGAAAATTGTTTAATGTGGTTATACATTTGATATGAGTCAAAAAAATATTAAATAATTTTCATGAAGAACCGTCATAAATATTAAAGGCTGACTTCCGTGTATGTGATACAAAATATAAAATTATGTAGTTATTGTATTTTTTTTCTATTAATTAAATTTAATACTAAATATGATTGTTAATAGATACATCTCACATGCTTATAAAAAATAAAAATGAACATATCTCGAGTGGTTATTCCTCAGGATTTTTGTTTTTATTTTTTTTATGTATAGTTTATATATAAAAAAAAAAAAATCCCACAACTATTGAAAATATAGAACATTAAAATATAAAGTTAAAAATGGATCATTTGCTTTAGAACTTTTTTTTTTTTGTCTTTTTTGGTGAAAAATAAAGTCAGATATCAGAATCAGTAATTAGCAACAATTGAAATGAGTAAAACAATTGTTCCACCATTCACGACTATTTCCTATTTCCTAGGGTCATATAAAGAATATCAAACACACATATGATTTAATTATCACTATTGAAGTGTTAAATTTTATTGTTGAGTATGAGTTGCATCTATAATACATACGTAGGTGTTGTGACGAGTAATCCATTCACGGCATTTTATGACTAATGTATTATGATTACGACACTTATGGTCAAATAAAAATTCTGAAAGGAACGCCCTATTGCCAAAATACATGTATAAAGCCCCAATACTAATTGTGTAATCAAACTATGGCATCTGATATTGTAGAATCAAACTATGGCATCTAATGTTTGCAGATTACATGCTCTGATATTAAGTTAAATAACTATTTTAATCTAAAATTTAAAATATTGATTGAGGTTTCAAAATATAATTTATATTATTTAAATTTTTTTTTCAAAATTTAAAATATTGGATGAGAGCTCAAAATATGTTACATTATTATTTAACATAATTTATCAAATAAAAACCCTTTGAATTAACTATCTCAACATATAATTTATAGCTTAAAAGTTGCAAATGATAGTGGAGAAATTTGAACTTATGACCATTTATAATAGGTTTCTAACACTCTCTCTCGTTGATCTATTTTTTGAAATTTATCCAGTAGTTTAGGTTTTAGGATTTTTTCTAGACCATTGAGCTTCTTTGATGATATATTAAATTATATAGTTGAAATTGAGTTCAATAATAATAATAATAAATAAATAAACATTGTTATAATTTGTTCATTCTCAACTTTATATAATACTCTTTTTTTTTTTTTTGATGTGAAATAAGCTCTTTAACAACCATTCAAGCTGTTCAAATTTATAAATGTTAGATTTTTTTTTTGAGTTCGAACCTCTCATTCTCAATTTTATATAATACTTATATATTATTTATTTGTTTGATTTAGGATAAGTTTTCTAACATTCATTTAAGTTTTTCAAGTTTTTAAATATTCGATTTTTTTCATTCTTGAGTTCGAATCTCTTATTTATAACAAATAATTTCCTAACGAGGAGCATTTAATGTATATATCACCTTAACATTGGGCATTAGCATATTCACCTAACAATCATCTGGGGCACGTCCTACCCTCAGCTCAGCAAGGTAATTCTAGTTTGACATTTCCTTCAAGGTGCCTTAGCAAATTATGGTCTGCTCTCTCTTTTGCAGGCCCTTCAAGACCATGTACACCGATTACTGAAGGAAAAAGCGAAAGTAGGAAGCGGGTAACGCATAGCCGTTTAATTGCTTAACCCTTTTTTTTTTTTGACCTTTATCTGATTCTAACCAAACTCCTTGCTGGGGTTTTGTAATAAATTTCCAGCTTGGGCATGCCCAAAACTAGTTGTAAGAAGGAAGATTATCATAGTGATCAGGTATTATTAGGGCTAATTAACTCGCCCTTGTTGTCAGATGGACGATTTGAGCCGTTCCTTTTTCAAGGAGCAAGTCAAATTGAAGGAAACCAATATAGCTGCATTCTTAGATGCCGGACTGGATAGCTTGGGCAAGCTTGATGAGATAGACAAAGTCAAGAGCGATTGCAAGTACCTAGTCTCGCTCTCTCAACCCTGTCTCATCAGTCAACAGCGGATGGAGACCATTCGAAACCTCTACTACAACCTGGACAAATGGTCTGCCGAGTACTCAAATTCTAGTGAAATTCTCAACCGTTATGGCGATCTCAAACTCCTACAAGAGAGCCAACAAGCAGAAGCAGATGCTAAATTAAACGATATACATGCCATACAAGAGTCTGAGGGAGAGATTCTGCATGAGCTCGCAGGAGCAGAGGCAAAACTCCTGGATTTAGAGAAGCAAGTACTAGAATATAAGAAGTTCGTAGCCGACCGCAAGAACCGACTTGCTTCCACTCAATCCCAAATATTGAAGCTATGTCTGGATGTACAAGCAATGCAAATGAATGCAATTAAGGCTGCTGCAGACCAAAAGTCTCTGGCAGATGAAGTGGAGAAGGCGAAGAGAGATCGGAGTCACCTTGAGGAGCGCTGGCAGAATATCTCCTCTGAGTTACGACTTAATTAGAGAATACCAATAGATTTTGAACCTTTTTTTTTTTTTCTTTTTTTCATGGGCTTGTTTGGTCTCTTAGATGGTAATGAGGATTTATGTGGCCTTAAAAGGCTAAGAGCGTCTCTAATGCTCTCTTTATATTAAGATTTTTTTTATAATAAAGATGTTTGATCTAAATTTCATCTCCAATGCTCTCTTTATCGTAATCTCTATCTTTAAAATTGATATAGAGAGTGTCTTTGGCTCTCCAATACTAGAGAGTTCAAATGACTCTTTATTTTATAATTCATTAATGAAAATTACTATTTCCTATGCCACTCAACCTCTTCACCAATAGTTTCTCCGGGTTTTATAGATTTTGTGAAAATAAAAAGTTAAGTAGAGAGTAGCATTAGAGAGGATATTGATCTTTAATCTATATAATTAATGGTGCTCTCTATTTACATTAAAAATGCTAGCTAAAAATAGAAAGCACAATTGGAGATGCTCTAATAATGTTATTATTTCCTCTACTTCTTTAAGAGGAGGCTATAATGCTTTTTATTTTTTATTTTATTATAAAAGAAATAGTAATAATAGTAGAATTGAAGAAAAAGATGAATAATAGGAAAATGAATTCACTATAAGATAAAATGAATACAAGAGATAACAACTCTAAATAATCTCTCAATCTTTTCAAAATACTTCTACACAAACTAATGAACAATCAAGCTTATTTATAGGCTTCAAAATTAGGAAGAGAATTTGAAGGGACTATGAACCATTTAAAAAGATGCATAAATAATTGAATAAATTACATCACTATTTTAATTTCTCATATTGAATGGTAAATTGAATCAAATGAGTAGTGAGAATTGAAATGATCATGGACATTTATTATTTCATAGCACTTCCCTTTGAATGTCCATCGTACAAGGAACATGCCTCGTTAAAATCTTACTAAAAAAAAACCCGGGAAAAAATTCTAGTGAAGAAAAAAGAGTACAACATTTTTTATAGACATGAATCCAATGTTGGGCTTTCCTTGTTGAAAACATCATTTAAGATCTTTAAGACGATGCATTTCGGTCTCATGAATCATTTTTCAAAAGTTATGGTAGGTAATACCTTAACGAATAAGTCCACTAAATTGTCACTTTAATGTATTCTTTCTTTAATGGAATTATACAAGCAACATTATCTTCATATAATAATGTTAGAGCTTCTTTGCTAGTAGATAAATTGCATGTCTCTCGCATATGATGAATCGTCAATCTTAGCAAAACACATTCTCGACTTGCCTCATTAGTTGGTATTTTTGCATGGTAATTTGAATATCTACTAGTTATAGTTTGCTTCATAGAACGTCATAATATAGCTATATCACCAAATGTAAATACATAATCCGTTTATGATCGAGTTTTATATGGATGAGATAAATAACTCGCATCCGCATAACTAATTAAACTTGATTTTGATTTATTTGAGTAAAATAATGTAGAATATGTTTAATTCCATTCCAATGTATCCGTATTAGAGCAAAACTTATGTCTTGCTCATAAGTTTATAGAAAAGGCTTATTAGGTTGAGTATTATTAGAAAAATATATGAATGCACCAATTGCATTAAGATATGATACTTCATAATCAAATAATTATTTGTTATCTTCTCGAAGTCAAAAAAAGGTCTTTTTGGATATCAAGTAAATGAACTACCATTAGGCTAATCAATGGATAAACTTTATTTAGAATCATTGTAGAACTTTTTCTATATAAATTGATTGATGAATAAAAATCTTATTCTTTAAGTGCTCGAATTGCGAGTTGAGATAAAAAAATTTTCTTCAAGGTATTTCACATCAAATTCTTCTTTTAGATAACTTATGGCATTGGAAATTTCTTCGAAAGTTCCAATAATATTTAAATCATCAACATATATAGCAACTATCACAAATCCCTTTTCGAATTTCTTTATAAAAATACATGAATAAATATGGTTATTTTTATAACCTTCTTTCAATAAATATTTATTGAAATAATTATACTACATGCACACAAGTTAGTAATAAAGAGTAGATATTGAAAAAATAAAAAAAATAAATATAAAAAGTATAGCATAAATTGAATTTATAAAAACAAAAATAATAAAATAAATACTAAAATAATTTCAATAAAGATCTCTATAATTTAATTAAATTTATTTCTTGAGAATATGTATTACGTGCTTTAGGCATCTTAAGTCTTTCTAAGACTTTCATATAGATATTATTTTTAATCGAACAAAAAGTTACGATCACATTCAATAAATATATGGATATGAATTTTTTCATATATTTTACCAAGCTAATGAGATAAAAAATATAATTGCATCCATTATAGGAGAATATGTCTCCTTTTAGTCAATGTTAGGTCTTTGCAAAAACTCTTGTATTACAAGTCTTACTTTGTATCTTATAATCTCATCTTTCTTATTTCGTGTTCGCATAAATACACATTTATATTCCATTGGCTTAACATCTTCGAGTGTTTTGACTATGTGTTCAAATACTAATCATTTGTAAAAAAAATATAATTCTACCTAGATTTCTCTTTTCATTTAGGCCAATCATCTTTATGTTGATATTCTTCAATAAATTTATGCCCAGGATCCTTATTTTCATTCAAGATATCAATTGAAACATTATATACAAAAATCTTATCAATGAAAGTTTCTTTTCGAGTCCTATTTTCTCCTTGTATTGACATAATTTATCAAAGTCTCTTGATTTTTTTCAAGCATTTGAACTTCTTTTGGAAGCCTATTATCAAATTTATTTTGGACCATTTTATGAATATTTACATCTTTTATATTTTCATATTGCCCTTTTCTTTTAGGGATTTTTATCTTTAGAACCAATCGGTCTTTCACGCTTTAGGCGTGCTTCGATTCATTTATTATAACATTAATAGATTGTCCTTCTAAGACATCAATTCTAATAGGAGTATTCTCACCAAGGACATGTATTTTAGTTATTCATTTAGGATTTGAGAATACATCTAGCAATTGGTTTACAATACTTGTAAATGAATTATCTTTTGAAATTCTAGTTCACATTATTTTGTACGAGATTCAATATGATATAAAGATAGAGTACTCCATGTAATTTTTTTTCTACATTTTCAATCTGTTTATTTTGCTTATTCTCTCCCCCTCATATTGGAAAAACTATTTTATCAATATGATAGTCGATAAATTAAGCTATAAAAATATCTCTTGTTCATGGTTTAAGTATTAAATTATCAAAGAGGATTTAAATCTAACATATATTCTCAATCTCCTTTAAGCACCTATTTTATTTTGTTATGAAAGAGCACTACGAATATATACTCGTAATGCCAAAAATTCTTAGATAAGAAGTATTTGGCTCATGACCATAAACCAATTGAAGGAGGGAGAATTTTTGATAACTTGTGGGTTTGATGCGAACAAGTGTTACTAAATTTAAGATTACATGTCCCCAAACATAAACAGGGAGTTGTTTTTAAATAATGATTTAGCTATTAATTGGAGCCTTTTGATAAATGATTTTGCTAAACCTTTTTGAGTATGAACATGAGCAATAGGATGTTCAACCTTTATTCGATAGCTAATCAATAATCATTTAATGCTTAGAAGATAAATTCACCGAGTCTTATCAAGGTGAATTATTTTAATGGCATAGTTTAAAAATTATGCTTGTAATTGAATTATTTAGGTTGGCAATCTCGAAAACGTCGGGTTTCGAGTAGATAATAAACATGCATGTGACCATTTCGTGGATACATCTATTAAAATCATAAAATATTTAAACGGTCCACATGGCGGATGAATTGATCCACATATATCACTTTGAATACATTCTAAAAATACCGGATATTTAATCTCAATTTTGCTTGGTGATAACTTAATAATCAATTTGCCTTAAGAATATGCGAACATGAAAATTCATTAAAATTGAAGAATTTTCTGGCTCTTTAATAGATGTCTATATGAATTTTTAATAATTTTTTTTATATCATGAAAGACTCGGGATAAAATAATTAGTCATGCCACATAGTAAAAATATTTGAATTAGTAAACTTTTGGTTTATTACGGTATTTGTTTCAATCATTCTAATGTTTGTAATTAAGATCAAAAGAGATAGCATGTAAATTTTTTCAATATATATTTTCTACCTAATATAATAATTATAATATCTAAGGATTTTATATTTTTCATATTTGTTGTCTTGATATGATATCAATTTAGATGAATATATTTGAAACTCAACAAATTTGTATGAGACTTTAAAGAGAATAGTACATCATTTATAATAAAATTTATCCTTTTAAATAATAACATATTTTTTCTTTTGGAGCCTATAAATTATATCGCTTCAAGTAATAATATATTCTCTCTTCAAGTAATAATATATTCGCTCTTCTAGAGTCTCAAAAATTTATCTCTTTAGGTAATAACATAATCGCTCTTCCGGAGCTTTCTATTAGATTGATATTATCATATATAATATTAATATAAAATAAATAAACATAAAATAAATAAATAAATAAATTCTTTATAAACATAAATAAATAAATAGTATATTTTATTTTATATGTATTTCTACGTAATAAAAATTATAAGAAAATATAAAACATCTTATTTATAAATAGAAAAGCTAATAAGTTATTAATTTCAAATATCATCATTTTCATATATAAAATTGCCCTTTATATTTGACTCTTTCTTTTTCAATAAGGCTTGAGAAGGCTCAATGAGATGCTTTGGTGTACGGTAAGTACGCGATCAATGTTCATTCATGTCACATCTATGACATTCATTTTCGTAACGCTAACTTGATCCATTTTTATGCTTTTTTTCCATATTTATCCACTTCTTATGGCGATTTGTATTATTATGGTCATCATGATTATAGTGATAATTATTTCGACCGCATCTATGGCTATGACCACATCTTTATCCATGTCTAAAATTATTATAAGTTATCATATTCACTTTAGGGAATGGAGTAGAT